GGGGGGAAAAAAAAAAAAAAAAAAAAAAAGGGGGGGGGGGGGGAGGGGAGAGGGAGAAAGGGGGGGGGGGGGGGGCAGGGCGAGAGACAGACAGGGAGACAGGGAGAGAGGAAGGGGGGGAGATTGGCAACACGAGGCGGTTGGTCTGTTAGGAATACCTTCGACACCGACACCTTTGGAAAAAAATAAAAGGTGAACGATACAACATGGAATACGCTGGTCGAAAACCGACTCAGCTGGTTGCCCAAATACAAAAAGGAGAGAGAGAGAAAAACAACACGCTGAGATCATTGCCGAGGCACGTGCATCAACGCCTAGAAAAATACGACCGCATGAACCCTCCCTAAGACCCCCCTGCCCCCCACCTTTCCGCGTCTAACCCACTCCAACGCACCACAAACACAGATACCACGACCTTATGTACCCCCCCACCAAGACTTCCTCATCCCCCCCTCTATACCTTTCTGATGTACCCCCGCCAAGACCTCCCCCCCCCACTCTACATTTCCTTGTCTCCCCCGCTCCCTCCGCATCCCACCTGCGTCACGCTGTCCTTGCTGACTCATCCCCCCTCTATACTTTTCCGCGTCTCGCAAACGAGCTCACGTACCCCCCGCCAAGACCCCCCCCCCCGTCTACACCCTTCCGTGTCTCAACGTCCCACCTGTGCCACGTTGTCCTTGCTGACTCGCATGAGGAAGTGGTGCCCCTCCTCCTGGGGTAGGCCCGGCATCGCCGCAACGGCCCGTCTCGCGCACTCGTTGAACGAGACCGTGTAGTTCTCCGACAGCCGGAATTTCGCCCGCCGCCAGAAGATGGCGCACCCGTCCACCTGGAACATGGAACGGGATGGAAACGAAAATGGGACACGGTATGGATCAAGGAGTGGAACACGGAATACAGCAAGGAATGGAACACGGAAGGGTAAAAAGGAAGGAAAAAAAGGAACGGAATACGGCACGAGCCGGAATGGATCAAATGGAATGGAATACACGAAGAGGGCTGTATGATGGTACTATATGAAGCCCATTGAGATAGAGATGCATACACGGAATAGGCGCAACAAGCGCTCTCTGAATGGTTTGGTGCATATGAGCGACTCCTGCGCGCCATCTCCGCGCCAGACGAGGTGCGCCCCCCGTTGCCCTAGGCGAGAAGATAAGCGGGTTTGCCCTTAGCCTACCCCCCCCATTCTCATGGCCTTTATACAGACCACCGTGCCGCCGTTGCAAACAAACACAAACACACGCCGAAACCCCTTCCTCAAAAACAATTCCCAACCAGCCAACCGCTTCCCTCTTTACACCAAAACGCCGACGAGAGCCATCCAACCACCTTCTCCATGCCCCCCTCCCTCGCCTTGGCCTTGTACAGAGCGTCGTACCCCCCTTCCGAACAAACACACGTCGAAACTCCTAGCTTAAAAAACAATCCCAAACCAACCAGCCAATCACACCACACCAAAACGACGCCTCACGGCTAGCCATCCAACCAAACACACCCACCTTCCCCATGGACCCCTCCCTCGTCTTGGCCTTCTACAGACCGTCGTACCCCCCTTTTCGAACGCAAATACCGCAACCCCTTCCGAAAAAACAATCCCCAACAAACCAGCCGACTACTCCCTACTATTATACATACACCAATATACGCCGCCGTACGGCATCCTTTCTCCCAAACACACCCACCTTCCCCATGGCCCCTTCCCTCGTCTTGGCCTTGTACAGACCGTCGTACCCCTTCTCCGAAAGGTGGGGCTGAAAGAACTGCTGGTACGCGTCCGACTGCACCTCCTGCAAGCACAGTACGTCGGCGCCCGCTTCCAGCAGCTCCCGCAGCAGGTTGGTCTTGCGGTACCCTGTGAGGGCGGCGCGCGAAGCAGAGTTCGGGGGCCATTGCCACAACGTGGGGCACTTCCCGTCAACCGCAGGACGTGATGTTCCACACAAAAAAGGCAAAGCAGCAATGGCACGTAGATTCGCGTTCCAGCCCATCCCGTTCCTTATGAACGCAGCATTCCCATCAACAACATTCCATCAACCGCTGAACAGCGGCAGCAGCAAGCAAAACAACGAAGTACAGCCCCAGAATTTTTTGGAGGCGCATCAACGGAAAATAAAAGGGTCGTTCGATCAGGACCAGCAAGCTCAAGGGCCCCAAGTCCCACAGAGATACAAACACACTTTTACCGGACAACACAACTCTTCACACCTGACTTTCACTGACGATGAGAGCACCCGCAATCGTAGACGACCGATCGCTCAGAGATGGGAAGAGCAAACAACAGCAACGTGTCATGGTCGGCACAAACTACCGCGCAGACACACCGCTAAACCGCGACCACCCACGCTCGAAAACGCGGGCAATCACATATATATACACGCTCTCAAAAGGCGAGAAACAATGAGGGGGGGGAAAAAATGTATACATAATATAGGAACAAATACGTAAATGAGGAAAAACGAAGAAGGAAAAATATGAGAAAAAAAAAGTAGCATGAGGACAAAAAAAGGGAACTCACCCCACGACAACGCCCAGAAGTCGCAATACGGGTAAGCCTGCTGCGTCGCGTAAATCTCCGCCAGCAGGTTGTACGAGCACAGCCGAAACCGTACCCCCCCCCCGCTCCCAACCCCCTTGACCGTCACCAACGATCGCCGTGGCGGTAGCGGCGGTGCTGACGGGAAGAGGGGGGAAAAGGAGTGGTGTGTGCGTGCATGTGTGTGTGTGAGAACACCAAACAAATCATCCAAAAGAACAACATGCGGGCGGAACAAGGGTGCAGTTGTCTATCGATGACGTCGTCGATGAACTTGAAGAGAAACATCAACGCCGGAGTTCCCCTTACGCGTGTGCCCCCCCCAACCGCGCATCCGGAGCTTTGTTAGTAAACCCTGCGTATTGTTCCGTCCCGGCATGCGTAGTCTATGATCTACTGACTACCACATGCATGTATATGTGTACCCCCCCC